TTGGAAAAAAGCCAGCTCTAGCGCCCCCCCACCCCCAACGCCCTTTTGTGATAATTTCTGCTAACCCCCCAGTGCCTTAACCCCTCACATTTGGTTCCCCCCCCCCCCAAAGAAAGAAAAAAAACAACTTAGTTTCAATATTTAGACCTCGACCTGATATTTAAAAATTGTTTTAAAAATTCTTATAGCGAATTGCCTAGCCAAAGAAAATTACGGGTATTTAAAATGCCAAAGAAAATAATTTGAGGTATTTAAAAATGTCCTCAAAGTACACCAGATGCAGGTAAACATCCATTTTGTGAAGAAACAAAAAACTGCACCTACCTGAAATTAATTGATTTCTAAATTTATGAAAATTCGGGAAATAACCGGTTGTTATCCTATAAAGATATCTCTGGTCCCTTAGTTATGTCTCGTCCAGTATTATTCCAGTGATCTCCTCGCATTATCAACGAGCGCATCGCAAAATCCCCCACGAATTATAAATACGCTGTTAAGTTAATTTCGGGTTATCCCGCACACCAACAGGCACATGGATTTTAAATCTATGAAACACTATGTTATAACCATTATTTAAGTAACAACGTTACTAACGGAACAATGTATGAGGCTGGATCCGTTAAAAATAATTTGATATTTTTTTTTTTTAAGTTCCTTAAATGTACACTGTTGATTGTATCCGAGGCACTATGTCTTTCTATTATAATCTACATACTGCTAGAGAGATTTCCAGCTAACGTTTGGATTTATCGACACCGTTAAAAGAAGACGCAAGTACAAAGGAGGAAACCAGATGATAATTACTTTGTTCGCCGGTGGCTGTTGGATATGAACGCGGTCAGTGATGAGGTGTTGTACGTGTTCATGCAGGTCAACGACGTGGTCGTGTCCGCCATCATCGGGTTCCTGGGCATCGTGTTCAACCTCATCAACATCGCCGTCTTCGTCACACTCGGCCTGTCCGACACAACCAACATCTCACTGCTGGGCCTGGCCGTGGCGGATATCGGGGTTTCCCTGACGATGTTCGGATACGGCGTGGTCAACAACCCGCTCGTCCTGGCGGCCGCGCCACACGTGGACATCATAGACGCTGTCAACTATGTGGTCCTGGGCGCGCCGCACGTCATGTTTAGCAGGATAGCTGGTTGCCTGACGGCTTTCGTCACCGTCGAACGATTCCTGTGCATTTCCCTGCCGCTGCACGTCAAGACCATCGTCACGAGACGGAGGATCAGCTTAGCCGTCGGCGGCGTCTACGTCTTGATGGTGGTCAGCACGGTGCCGACGTTCATCGCAAACCAGATCGGACCAAGGTTCAACTCGAGGCTCAACCTGACGACGGACGGGCTGGTCCTGTCCTGGAATTCTGACCAGCTCGAGAGCGTCACCCTGCTGGTCAACATAGTCGTTCAGATGACGTCGTTTTGTGTCGTCATCGTGTCCACGTTGGGTCTGATCCGGTCACTGGTCAGGATGTCCCAGTGGAGATCGGCGTCCTCGTCCACCCCGGATACCAAAGTGTCTTCTCGTGACAAGCAATTGGTCAAGATGGTCTTGACCATCGCCGTCGTGTTCATCGCCTGCTCCCTACCCATAGTTGTCGGTAACCTTGTCATGGTGTTCGTTAAAGATTTCAGCGTCAAGGGAAATACCAGGAATCTGTTCATCCTGGTTATCGCTCTTTTGTTCCTCATGGACTCGATAAACTCCACGGTAAATATCTTTATGTACTTGAAAATGAGTTCAAGGTTCAGGGAAACGTTTTTGTCATTTTTTTCAAAGCAGGCACAATAATATTACTAATTTTTGAGCTTTACAGCGTTTAAATAATGAAATATTTGTCAGGAGACGTCATTTTTCATGATTATCTTTTCAACGTTGGGACTCATGCTTTCACTAGTCACACAATCTCCGTGGCTGTCCACGTCTTTATTCACCCAAATTCGTTCGTTGTTAGTGTTCCGTATTGTTATGAGGCTTTTGCAAATGTAATCTATTTTAAGATTTAGCTTCTTTTTTTCTTTTATAACAATACCCAACAAAAGTATTTGAACCATTATACAAAGAACAAAGAAACCAGATAAAGGGATATTAACAATATTCAATTTAATTACAGTATTAAGTTGATAGAAAAATATAAAATCAGATATAGAGAAAATAAGTGAAAAAGTGTGTTCAATAAAAATAAAAATAATAATACGAACGAACAAAAAAAGGTAAGACCTTTTTAGGCTCCTAAAGTATTTTACATATCGTACATGTTTAGGAAAATTAGCGAAAATCCCTTCCGGCTGGGAAAAAAAAATTTCCGGCTTCTTGATAAGGAGTGAGCTAAAACAATACAGAGGGAGAAAACTGATGGTCTCCCCAACGCTACGTTAAAATAAAATTAGATCAACACACATGCTTTACCATTAGTCAAAGAGTTAAGCATTAAGTGAGACAATAGGAAACCGTTAATCTTAGTTATCGTTATTTCGTTCATCTTTGGTGCCAATCAACCGGACGGTTAACGTATTTATTTACTCGAAAATTAGTTCAAAATTCAGTGAAAGGGAATTGTCTTTATTTTTTGAAGGGTGTGTGGGGGTTGCACGGTAGCGTTTTCAGGGATCATGCAAACAAATTATGGCACATTTACCACGCACTATCCTTCATTTTGAGTGTGAACTTGTAAGCCAGTCCTGGAATTACCATTGCTTGTTAAAGCTTAACTATTACTAAAAATCAAATTAGTTACAATGAAATGAAACATCGACTCCAGTCAGAAATTAACTGAATTCGCAATTTCACAAAGCTGCAATGTCATATCCAGTTTTGTTTTACACTATAACTCCACCAACTTGCTTTTCTTTTTACTGTTGTCCCTTACAATGTAATTATGCCCACTTCTTTTCTTCTCTTCTTCATTTTTTAGTCACCATTATTCATTTATTTATTTATTTATTCAGGCATTTTTATATAGCGCTTACCATAAAGCTCTAAGCGCTTTACAATTATTAAAACATGTAAACTAAGTACATAAAAATGAGACACTAGGATAGTAACTACTATTCTTTAGAAACAATGAAAATGGCTATAAAACGAGGACACTTTGACACTTCAGGATCAACCTGAAACAGAAAATGAGGTAGGGCAAGGAGGGTGCATTACAGGTCATAGGCGGACCTAAACAAATGAGTTTTAAGGGACTTTTTGAAAATGGACGAGGTTTCACAATGACGGATATGGAGGGGGAGCTGGTTCCAGAATGTCTCTTCACTCATTTCTTTCCTTTTAGTTATTAAAGAGGTAGGATAATATTTGTACTATGAGTTGCACTAATTCAGCTGGCGATCTCGACGTTAGTGAAAGAGTTACGAAAAAACTATTTATTTGCCTTGATTCTAAAAGTGACAGCGAGCAGATTGGTCATTGTCATGGTTTAGCGAAGTAATCATGGAATTGTTGACAGTATTGTGAATTGATAGGAAAGAAATCGGTTCGATTAAAAGTAAAAATCTTTAATATATATACAGGAAAATCATCCCATTTTTTTCCCAGATTAATTTTTGGACGTACCCCTTATGTGTAGACAGGTCATTTCTTTTGTTCGTATGTCTATTTGGAATGGGATGGACCTTCGGACATTATTACTTATACTGCGTGAGTGTTTTTAGAAGTGGTTTTTCTTTCCTCATGTGGTGCACAATAAAACCTATATATAACTGTCATTTCTTCATCAATGAATATTTCAACATCATTTGTCTTGTTCCAATATTTGGAAACACTTTCATATTTTATTTTCAAATACTTGCCTCTCTTACAATGTGTTTAGAAGTAAAAGAACCTTTTCGGAAATCATTTTTTACCCCTCCATAAAATGACATAAACACACACAAACATATTTTTTTTTTAAAATCCTTGGTTTAAAATGATAGTTTAGCCTATAGGAAGGGGGTTTTGGGGTGGGGCTAAAACTTACAATTGTTAGAACTGAACAAGACAATATTTTAATTCAGCTTCGTTAACTGAGAAGATGTTTTTTTTTTAAACAAACGTGTGTGGTCCTACTGCGGATGAGATGATAGGTGCGTCTCAAGCTAAATCTTTGGTTTCTCCTGTAGGCATCTCTATATCCTGACCAAAAAAAAAAAGAAAGACTGACAGAGCTTTTTGTGTTGATATGGAAAGAAGGTAATGCCCCTCGGCAATTCAAAGATGCCAATATAATTCACGTAATATAAGAGACAAGTCTTTCGCCAAGCCTGTGACAACTATCGAGGCTAGCTGGGAAGATCTTGGCCAGTGTGCGCTTCTACTCAATCGTTTGCAACTAAGCAAAATGGTGTACTTCCTGAAAGCCAGTGTGGATTCTGCTCAGAAAGGGGCACAGCTGACATGATGTTTGAGGCACGTTAGCTCCAGTAGAAGGGCCACACAGCGACCTGTTCATCACCTTTGTTTATCTGACCAAGGTACTTGGCTCGGTCGGTAGAGATGGTCTGTGGAAGATAATGGAGAAGTTTGACTGCCCGAGTAGATGTATCACAATGACGATTGGCTCGGTCGGTAGAGATGGTCTGTGCAAGATAATGGAGAAGTTTGACTGCCCGAGTAGATGTATCACAATGACGATTGGCTCGGTCAGTAGAGATGGTCTGTGGAAGATAATGGAGAAGTTTGACTGCCCGAGTAGATGTATTACAATGACGATTGGCTCGGTCAGTAGAGATGGTCTGTGGAAGATAATGGAGAAGTTTGACTGCCCGAGTAGATGTATCACAATGACGATTTGGCTCGGTCAGTAGAGATGGTCTGTGGAAGATAATGGAGAAGTTTGACTTCCCGAGTAGATGTATCACAATGACGATCTCTTAGATTCATTTTAAAAAGAGAATTCAAACAACAACTAAAAGCAAAGTTATTTTTTTGTGGTATAAATCCTTTATAAAATGGAATATCGAGCAATTTGGGGTGGGGGGGGGTCTTAAAATTGGACAAAACATGCATACAAGTACCACACTTTTTAAGAATCCCGATGTATGCCCCTCCCGTCCCAAGGCTCTCAAAAACACTCTTTGTTTTTCCCACGCCCCTGAACTATATCATATTCTAATGCCCCACCCGCTTTGACACCGCAGATTTATGTCACGAACTATTGCTGAAAAAACAAAAGAAAATATTACACACCAAACGCACTTTATTATTTTTGTTGTTGTTTACATTCACTCATTTAGCGCAGTTTTCGTAATTTGTATTGCGTGAAATCATTGTCAACATATCCCCTTCATTTTCCCCTTGAAAAACAGGAACAAACTTATTGCGTGTATGGGGGGGGGGGGGCGTGTGGGGGTTCGGGGGTCGGGGGTTTGATCGGGGGATTGGCTGAAAAATGTGTTGTCATCGGCAATCAGCCGATGTGCCAAGTTTAAGCTTGATAGTTTGACGTGAAGTGGGTCAATTAGCCGTCCGAAGAGTTTGCGAGCCACGAAAAAAGGCAAAGTTAATAAATTTAAAGAAGATCGTATTCTCCATTTCATGAACACTACGCACGTTAAGATTACTGTCAACACCAGGAATTCTAAACTATTTTGTTTTTATTAAGAATGATACTTTCAAGAAGCTTGATTCACTGTGTTCATTTGTGGATGTAAAACGTAACATAAATATAATGTCTCTGCCCTTTCAAGGAGAACGATTTGAACTGCATAATCCAACATCTCCAATCGGCAGCATTTCGCTTTAATCGCTTTCTTTCGTAAACATAAAAAAAAACAAATCTTAATAAACAACTATTTTATTTTCAAATCACCGTACTCTTGTTACAAAATTAATTACTTAATTTGAAAAAAACAAAAACAAAACAGGAGCAGCTCATGCTTGCAACAAATGTTATGTTAATACTTTGGAACAGGGGCTTCATCAAGCCTTGCATCCGTTCATCCGTCCATCCGTCCATCCGTCCATCCGTCCAATCCGTCCATCCGTCCATCCGTTCATCCGTCCATCCGTCCATCCGTCCAATCCGTCCAATCCGTCCATCCGTTCATCCATCCATCCGTTCATCCGTCCATCCGTCCCTCCGTTCATCCGTTCCTCCATCCATCCGTTCCTACGTCCATCTCATCCGTCCATCCGTTCATCCATCCATCCGTTCATACGTCCATCCATCCGTCCATCCATCCATCCATCCATCCGTCCATCCGTTCATCCGTCCATCCGTCCATCCGTTCATCCGTCCAATCCGTCCATCCGTTCATCCATCCATCCATCCATCCGTTCATCCATCCATCCGTCCATCCGTTCATACGTCCATCCGTCCATCCGTCCATCCATCCATCCGTTCATCCATCAATCCGTGAATCCATCCACCCATTCTGGTGACGCTGTTGCCCACGTAGGGTTTTGGCCTGCCTCACCGCATCCTTCCACTCAGATCTGGCCAATGCTTTTCTTTTCCATGATGGATTCCCAGCTGTCTGTGGATCCCTCTCCCCATTATCAACCCATCTTTGCCCTCATAGGTCTGCTTTGGACAGTTTCCCTCTCGCGTTATGGTGGTCCACCCTCTTCACGCCTCTGTCATTCGACATTACTTCCAAGTGTCCAGCCCGGTCATCTTAAATGTATTAATGTTTTAAGCCTAACCCGCCCCCATCCCAACCTCTTTACGTCATCCCTGGTGGGTTCTGAATGTCTGCACTAAACACTAAACACCCCCACGTATCATCGATTTAACAGCAACATTGATCCTATTGATTGACATTTTTTTATATTGGCAAGTACACCTGATTTTATAATTATAACTTTTTTTTCTTTCAAATGGGTCTAACGATTCTGTTAAATTGATGAAGACAAAAAAAAGGTGTTTGAAAGAATAAATCATGACATTAAATGTAAAAAAATAAAATAATGATGATAATAATTATAATCTTAATTCCAATATGAGACAGTCAAACAGCTCTTGTAAAACTAAATCACAATAAATTGGCTTACATTACACCCGACTCTCCTATTACGCTAAGCATTAGTAACGTTAGGACAATAAATTGGGTCGTTATTGTAATGGGCCAGCATGGCTTTCTAGGGTATTATTCCTGGTCAGGATTAGCATCTTCATCATTCTTCCAAGTCTACCAATGATGGGACCTGTTCGCATCAAAATTAGCCTACTTAGCTGTATAATTAACTGAGCATCATGGGTGTTAGAGAGTCATTATGGTTAATTACAGCATGCGAGCTATCTGCTCTGTCATTAACTTCAAACTACCATGTCTGTGACTGACTGGGTCATTAATAGGATAAAGTAAGGGTAATTACTGAACGCCAAAATAATACATTGTAAAGGTCAGTAACTCAGTACGATAAATTATCATCTACATGTAGCTAGTTATCTAGAGTTACGTTGGTGATAAGATATCGCGTACATATCATTTTTAAAGTAGTGACAAAATAGGGTGAATGGGTTCAAAAGGCAACGACAATGGATGGGTTAGTTGAGTTAGACTTGGTGAGTGGCGAACTGCTAAACGTGTTCCTCCATGTCACCAGCATCTACCTCTATGCCGCTCTGGGAATTATGGGACTCCTTTTCAACTTCGTCAACTTTACTGTGTTCCTGAGGCTGGGTCTCTCTGACACGACCAATATCTCACTGCTGGCGCTGACCGTTGCCGACATCGGCGTTTCCCTGACCATGATTGGGTACAGCGTCATAAACAACCCCCTACTCGCGAGTATCACACCCCTGGAACTAATTGACGCCGTGAATTATTCCATTCACGGAACAGTTCACGTTTTGTGCTGTCGCATCGCCGGCTGCCTAACAGCTTTCATCAGTCTCGAGAGATTCGTGTGCGTCGCCCGGCCCATGCACGTGAAATCCATCGTCACGCCTGAACGAACCAAACTCGTCGTCTTTGGCGTGTACGCGTTCATGGTCGCCTGCACCATCCCCACGTTCGTCGCGAATCAGATAGGTCAACGGTTTGACCCTGATCTCAACCGAACCACGTATCTGATCTTCACGCCCGATTCAGACCTACTTGAAAATTTCACGTTTACCGTCAACGTCACGGTCCAGCTCACCTCGTTCGTTGTCGTCACGGCCTCCACGCTCGGTTTGATGAGATCGCTCACAAGGGTCGCCCGATGGCGGTCATCAACCGCATCGTCGGTGTCGAAACACGCCCGTGCGTCCAGCCGAGACAAACAGCTGGTTAAGATGGTCGTTTTGATATCGGTGGTCTTCATCGCCTGCTCCGTGTCGACGGTGGTCGGCAACCTGGTCATGATCTTCGTGAAGGACTTCAACGTCCGAGGAAGACACAGGAACCTGTTCGTGCTGGCCTGCGTCGTCTTCTTCATCCTCGATTCCGTCAACTCCACGGCGAACATCTTCATCTACTTCAAGATGAGCTCAAAGTTCCGGGAGAACGTCTTTCTGCTTCTACCACAAAAACATCGGAAGATTAAAGCGTAAAATAAACAATATGAGACATCCTATCGATCTCGTTTGGATCTCATTGCTGAAGGGAGATACAAGGAAACGACCCCTGAGATAGTTATTTGAAATTGTGCCAGGAATCTTTAGTTCTTCTACATGTTCATTACTATGATTTAATTAGGCATGCTAAATACCGAAAGAAAATGAAACCGTGTATATTTTAAAACTATTGTTTTATTTAATAAACTTTAGAAAATGAGATGAACAAATAACGAATTAGAGTTAGAGTATCGCATAGTATTCAGTCACGTATCCAATAGCTTACAAATTCATAATGTGTGACATATTTTATTAAAGAAGAACATATTTTATGGTATATATTTATATCAATCACACATAAATTAATATAGTGTCATATAATCTTTTGGAGTAAAAAAAATAGTAGGGTAGAACCATGGGCGCCTGCAGGGGGGGGGGGAAGGGAGGGCACTCCCCCCCCCCCCGGGTTAATTGGGTAAAAAAAAAATAAAAAAAAAAAACAAAAAAAATTTTAAAAAACAAAAAAAAAAAAAAGAAAAAAA